AAATCTTTAAAAGGATTTATTATAATGTCTTACTTAATGTGGTAATGAGCCTTCATTGTACGGAGTCTTCCATTGTGGAAAGTAGACATGAGGAAGCTCTCTGCTAGATCATCAAGGTGCTGACCCAAGGCAAGCACATTGTAACCATTAGCACGAGCTGCCGCATACAGTCTTCCTCGTTTCATACGACTGCAGAATGAACATACAGAAGAGCAGCCATTCTCAAGAGCTTGGTCCAGAATCGCTAAACAATTGATGAAAAAGATTAATAGAATTTACCAATCCCCATTAAAGCAATATTTCAAAATTGTTGAAGTTAACACTGTTACTTACGCTGTTCTTCATACATGTAATGCACCCCCAATGAAGCAAGATATGGAATAAGAGGTTTTGGATCATAAGCTGTGCTACCAGGATCTACTGTCGCAGCACCAAGTGTGAAGTTAATTCCTTTGGTTCGAGCATAAAATTGATACTGTCTCAGTGTGTGTAAAAGACTCAAAGAATCCTTTCCACCAGATAGACACACCATAACTTTGTCACCATCTCGAATCATACCAAATTCATCAACTGCCTGCAACATAATTAATCAGTTAATTTTCTCTGGGTTCAAAAAGATTACAGCCAGGAATGATTGAAAACCACATACTTCCATAGTAGGCTTCCAGACATTCTTTGGAGGACAATGCCATCCACCTTTGGAGCGCAACCTTTCTGAGCTAACAGGCTTTTTGTTGTCTACTTCACTGATACCAGCTCTGGAGCTCCTGCGTAGAGCACAAGCTTTTTTAACAACATCTTCGTCATCTTTAGGGCATGTAAAGGCGCTTCCAGTTCCACTGGTACAAACACTACGCTTCTTGCATGAGGAGGTAATTGTCTCTTCACCAGCCTCTGATGTAACTTTTGTGCTACCTTCAACTCTAATCACACTCTTCTTTTTAGTAGGTTGGGAGTTTGGTTTTCCCAATGCATCATTCTTAGTGCAAGTAAAGCAATGGTCTCGATTTTTAGAGTCATTTTCACTTTCACTTGTGCAAGGAGAGCATTCAGGTTTGGTGGCATCGCTATCCTCTTCGCTGCAAATTTCTTTTGGCTCCTCCCTTTTACAAACACTTTTCTTCTTGCAAGGTATGCATTCCTTTGAATTTTTCTTTTTGTGCTTACTTCCGGTTCTTTTTTCTGATTCAGAGCACAACATGTTTATGCCACTATCTTGTGAACTAATACTATTGACCCTGGTGTCAAGTGACTTTACTTCATCCAGATTAATTTGTCTTACACCATCAGTGATTGATTCGGTTGTATCAAACTCTTCATCACCATCACTATTTTCCTGTGATCTACCCATTTCTTTTCCAGCCAAAGTGTGCACTACTGTTTCCTCACTAGAATCTTCACTAATTGTTTTGTCTGGTGATGGATCAGCAACAAAGCTCTTCATATTAGACTTGAAATCTAACTTTTTAGGAACTTCTTTCACAACTGGAGAAAGCATAGGAGATTTGTCAGGAGACATAAGTCCGTCAACCATGCCACGTATCTCTGTCTTCATTTCGCTGACGAGGTCTTTCCCTTTGTCGGCCAAATATTCAGCCACATGCTCTGCTGACACAGAGTCACATCGCATACGAGAGGAGCTATGGAGACGTTCTGCCGAGCCATTGGTTGATGATATCTCAGTAGAATCGGAGAGAACATCCTCTACTTGTGATATGACTTCACGGATTTCAGATTTTATTTCTGTTGCAAGTTCCTTTGTCACTTCATGCACATAAGCACAGATGCCTTCTGAATTGGGTGAGGAGTTGCTGCACACACTTCCATCCAAGGAGGTTGTAGACATCTAAACACAAAACAAAAATGTTTATAAGTGGAAAAAAAAAAAAAAGAAAGATTCTAGACAACATAGAATATGACAATAGAACAGATTAGTTGTGATAAAGGTTAATCAAAACAGTTAAAATCATTTTGTTGATTAGAACACCATAAAGACAAGAATATTTTTGAAGGGCAGCATAAACAACAAAATTCAGAGCATTTGAAAAAAAGAGGGAAAAAGAATTCAAATGCATACACACCTGTGCAGAGTATGGTGGAAGTGAGTAGAAGTCCTTGTCAATGGAATTGAGATCTACTTGGCTACCACAGCTACAACTACTCTGAACTGATGAAATTGGAGCATTCACATCAGAACACGACATAGGTGAGCCAAGACTATTGCAGCGCATGCGAGCCAGGGAACTGAAATAATCAGTATTTATGCCCAATGGTGGGCTGCTTGGATGAACAGGGTCACCAATGCAGAAGCGTAATGGGCTCAAAGGACTCAAGGGGCCAACATTATCCGTTTGCGGGGGTACCCACTGCAGCTGTAAGTACAGCAATGTTGAAAAATATAAAAAAAACGTGACAAGCCACTTAAATGCCAGCGATTGATATTACTCAAGACATAAATATTACTAATAAAACAACAAAAATGCATGCAAGAGGACAAAAATTTATCATTCCTAATTAAATTAATATGGCTACAGTATAGTAGCAACAGTGAATTTTGCCTTTTCATATTTATAAATTAACACTTGGAGAGCTCAAAAACAATTTGAGAAGCATAGAAAAGATTTTTTTTAACTACACATATCAGCATGCCATCAGACAACAAAGCTCAAACATCTTTCAACATTCAAAATTACATTCAACATTACTTTAAAATTTTGTTTTAAAAAAATCTAATATATACTTACAGGAACTTGTAAAGAATTTATCCTTGTTCTAGTCTGTATGGGTGCAGTTGGGCTCCCCACAAATCGTGGCAAATTTTCAATACTTGATAAGCTGTTGTGCCGAGCAAAAGACGTGGCCGAAGGACATTTTGGTGGAGTACTACCATTGCTGATAGGACTAGTTTGTTGCACACCAGGTGTTGTTTCTCCAGAGGAGGCACTGTCACAGCTTGAAGTACGACCTCTTGCACCAGAATATGGAGTAGGATCAAAAGGCACTTCCTGTTTTACATTCTGAACATTGCCCAGAAGCAAGTCTTGAGCTTCACTTGGCAGCATAAACCAACGTAATGCAGCAGTATTTTGATCAAACATGAGTCGTTGGTCAGGAAGAGGATACCTCTGGGCCATCTTGATATTAAAAAAGAAAAATAGTCAGACAGTCAATAACAATCTACAAGAAACAAAAGAATAATTGGGTTGGAACAATCCTGATACTAACTTTTCTTGCTTTGTTGAAAATGTTTCTAGCAGTATGCAAGCAATCACCCGTGTCATGAGGACAAGGAGTTTGTCCAGATACACGACGTTCAAAGGATTGCATCTTTCCATCAACATAGCGAATAGATCCAAGCCACTTTCTGTCTCGGAAAACCTAAAATTTTGAAGAAAGTTTTTGTCATACTTGTCTGAATAAAGAAACAAAACTACAAAATCATGTAGATTAAAAAAATAAAAAAAAATTGTAATATTACCGTATTTGTGTTATGTCTCCATTCTCCAGTGTCTGGGTTCAAAATGTATTGAGGTAAAAGTTTCCAGCCTTCAGTTGCAACCATTTTCAGAGCTTCCAACACAAATGCTATCTCTGAGTCAGACATAAAGTATGGAATGGAAACTCTGGCAAATCCTGGCCTTAACATTTCATATGTTGAATGTTCTCCCTTCCTCCTTAAGTGAGTTCGATCTAAACGGCTATGAAACAAGTTTACATTGATTGGGAGAAAATATTTCTTGAAAGAAATGATAATTGTGTTTTATGTAAACCAACCTGTCTTCCATTAAAACTGCCTCATAATCAGCTGCTAGTTCTTCACTAATGCCAAGTAGATCTTGAGCATATGGACCCGCACAAGCACAACCCCCTCTCACTTGAATCCCAAATACGTCATTTAAGATAGCACAAACAAAATTGTGGTGTAGGAAAGTGCCTCGAGGGTGCCTAACCATGAAAGAAAACACTGGGAGTCTTTGAACAGATGAAGAATTATTACCAAGAAGTATAAGTTCTGGAATGGTGCGAATGTGTGCTAGAACCATTCTGAAACAAGAAAGCAAAGTCAAAAGTATTCCAAGAAGAACAATGTGAAGCACACATACAACACAATTTCATCAAAACCATACTTGCAAATTTTTTCCTCTCTGGCCATGATGCTTGGATGACCAACAGCTTCCTTAAGTTGCATTACTAAACCAGCACGCACAGACTCAACAATAGCTCCTGTGCCCCCTTCTTCCCTCATCTCTGTATCCTGAATTGCAGTTGAAAGCAAAAGCGAGTTTTAATACTGTATACAATTATTTTTGGGTCCACATTATGGACTCATGGCACACAATAGGATACTCTCCAGTGAGTAAAGACCCTGCATGGAAAGTGTTAAAAGAAAAAAAGACTACACGAAACAATACTAACTTTAAGATAGCGATGGCCACCTTGGGTGACAAAAAAGACAGTACCACCTCCACATCCATTTGGCACTGTGTTACGGAATAAAGACTTCTTTGCAACGAGTATTCCTGTAGAAACAATATGGAATTAGTTCTTAATAATAAAAAAAAAATGGAGATTCTTTTTTCAAAGAGGATATTTTTTATGAGTTATGCCCGTACCAGGGGTTTGTACACCTCCAACAAATTTGTGCATAGAAAAAAATATTGCATCTTTGTGCACTGATTGTTCACTAACTCCAGGAACATTGGGATTCATGTCCATTTTAACGTAGGGAGCTGTAAAAAAAAAAAACACACATTTTTTAACTTGCGTGTATGTTACAAATTGTGTTCAATTTCTAAGAGTGAATAAGTTCAAATAATTATTAAATTTGCTAAAGTGATGTGCAGATTAACACTGTTAAGGCTAAGGACAAAACAGAAGCCTTCGATGTACTCTAGGAGTTTTCAGAAATGTAAGGGTTATTAAGAAATACGGGTGCTCGACTACGCTACCTGCTGTGGCATAGTCCCAGAAGGCCAGTGCATTGTACTGGTGCAAAAGCAGGGTAGTGGCCACATCGTCCGTGACGATGCCCGTTATGTTGGAGGCCGCCGAGAAGCAGCCAATGAGCTGCTTCCCGCTTGCCTGGAACGTCTGCAGCTGCAGTTCCAGGTCCTGCAGGTCTAGGAAGCCCTCCGGCGTCTCGGCGATGCGCACGATCTGTAACCAGGAGACTGTGAGTGGAGGAGGAGGTTGACGACGAGGACAAGCACGGGGTCCGGCCGAGTGCGCACCTGGGCGCCGATCTCTCTCCATGGCAGCAGGTTGGAGTGGTGCTCGCAGGGCCCCACGAACACGACGGGCGCCTCGGTGAGCGTCAGCGCCTGGATCAGCTTGTGCACGGCGCCAGTGCAGCCGCTCCCCGCGAAGATGACCACGTCGTGCTCCGAGGCGTTGACGGCATTCCGGATGATGTCCCGAGCCTCGTGCCTGCAACAAATCCGATGTTTTCGGTCGTGACCGGAACCGGAGGTGGCGCCGCGCTCAGATCTGCCGTGGACGACGACAGGGTGGCCTGAGAAAACTCACCTGAACAGCGTAGACTGCAGGGAGGTGATGCTGGTCGTGGTGTGCGTGTTGCCATAGCAGGGAAGCACCTCGTGCAGGATGTAGTCCTCGATAAACTGCAGCGACCTCCCGGACGCCGTGTAGTCGCAATACACAACTGCGGGGGAACAAACATCGCGAGATGAGCAAGCACAAACACACAGATAACGAGCAGTGCGCGGACCAGCCCGGCAATCATCTGCATGCACCTCGGCCCCTTGGGCTCGCAGGACCAGGGTGGGCGCCCAGACTTGTACAGCCTGTCCCACCGGGGCTGCACACAGTACCCAGGACAATCCTCTCCGAACGGCACTCCCCACCATCAACCCCCTACCACCTCGACCCCCCACCCCGCAAGGCCAATTGGACCTGAATTAATCGCCCCCTATCCACGGGTGGCCGGGCTAAGTGGGCGTGTGAGTAAGTGCACCGACTGTGCGCCGGCTGCTTGGCAAACACTGTCGGGGCGGGGCGGGGC